GGTGCGTGTGAAGATCACGGGGCCCGCCGAAAACGACGGCGGCGGCGCGCGACGGTGACGAGCGGCGGCGGCACAACACGATAAATAATGTAAACGCGAATAATTAACGGGGAACACATTGTTCAAACGCGATACACGCGATTACGGTGAAATCTGCCCGTAACACGGGGTGTCCCACGGAGATACGCCCGTCGCGATATCTCTCACTCGAGATAACGGAGATAATCCGATCCGGTCGTTTTCATTTTATAACGATACGAAAAGGATCGTCTGTTAATATAATTTATTTGTATACTTCAGCGAACAAATTCGAAAAACGTTTTCCCGGGATAACGGGATACGGGTGCAGTTACGGTTATAGGCGAGAAGTCGGGAAGGTAGTACAGGGGAAATTTAATGTATTTCAGTACGAGACGATTAACCATTGTTAACGAAAGAACGATTCTGAGCGGAGTTCGGTTGATAGGGTTGCTTTGTCGACAATATGAAAAATGTCATATTATGGTAAAATAATTACGTATGCGTTATTTATTTATTTATTTTTTTTTTTTTTAATAATGTTTGTTTAATATTGTACCTATTTTCCCGTTTTTCGTTATTTTCGGTTTCCCGTGGTTTTTCCCGGTTTTTACCATTTATTGGGAAAACCAAAAAATGACCTACTTAAAGTACCTCTCCAGTTTGATTTCTTTTTAGAAAAAATCCTATCATTGAAAATCGGAGCAAAATTGCTTGCAGAAAAGTTGTCCACAGAAAAAATAAAATAAGTATCATATTAAAACCAATACATTCCCCGCTCCATTGAGAATCTAAAATTACTTTTCATTTTCTAACACTTTGAATTATTTAATGAGAGTATTGTTGGCTTGAAACCAGTGAAAACATTAACGTTTCAACTTTTAATTTTCGTTAATCTCACGGTTTTTAGAATATTTTTTAGTCCGGAGAAAAATAGCCCAATAGCGTTTTGAAGTTGTATCGTCTTATATTCTAATAAGTTTTGTTTATCAAAACGCTTTATATTTAATACTAAAGCACTATCGTTTTTAATACAATATTTTTCTGTGAAATAAAAAAAATAACAAAAATCACGAAAAAATGAAAATAAAACAGTTGAAACGGCAAAATGATTAGAAGGATAAATTATTTTTCGTAAATTATAAAATAAAACTTTTTCTTTTCAATAACGTGTGATTAAAATTACATAATTTTATAGATCATATCTATATGAGTCATATATATATATATATATATATATATATATATATATATATCGTTGAAAACAATTTTATTTCTCCAAAAATACTAATTTTCTCAAGAGATATCGCAATAATTTGTGTATCTTCGTCGGACCATGTGTAACGGACACTCGTGGGACCACAAAAAGTGTCCGTTATACGTATACACTCAATGTGTCTGTGGTACAAAGGTTTAGTATTTGTCAGCGAGTTTTACGCATAGTCGAACCTGCACTGTTATTGTGTCTCCGCACCGAATAATTGTCGACTTTTGCTTTAAATCGAACAGGAGGTAGCCATTGTGCAGAAAAAACAACACACTCCGAATAAGTAAAACGGATAATGACGGTTTCCGATTAAGATAGGATCACAGAACATAATATATTATAATATTTTATCCGTATAGATATTGGCCGCGCAATAAATTTTGTTGTTTTCAGCGATATAAAAGTAATCTATCGTACTACTCATCGATTTACTCGGTTGTACCGTGAAATATTGTCCATTTTACGGGGAGAATAAAACATATTACCGTCCGCGTCCGTTATAGACAGGTTAAAACACGTTGAAACATCTGGCTTTTTGCCAAGACCTTATTATTTTTATTCCGCAAAAGAGGTGACCGTTATATACAGGTGATGGATGTATCTAAATTGATTCCCATTTGGTCGAATTGGTTCCCGTTTAAATTTATGATGTATCCACTGCTGGTCGAATTAGTTCCCATTGTTGCCAGTATAATACGCATATTTTCTTTTCCATTCTTACAGACTTAGGACTGTCAACTTAGAATTATTTAGATTTTACGCTAGAAACATTTGTGTATTTTATATTCGGTATATATAGCCACACAGATAAGTAACGTATATCCAGATGAATTGACGTTATTTTAATCGATTGCAGTATTTGTGCAACACGCCGATCTAACGTTAATTTATTACCTTAATAACTGTAAAATATACCCCCCGTAGTATGATAAAAATTAAATAAAAGTTTAAAAATGTACTACATTATACCTACATTTATCGTGTTAATTGTTTAAATGTAGTTATCAATAATAAGTACCTTTATCAAACGGGAACCAATTCGGATACATCCATACAGGTTAGGTTAGGTTAGGGTCCGTTAAGGCTGGCTTACCCTATGACAATATCAAACACCCTGGCCGTTTAATACCACGGCACTATCTCATTCCCGGGATCATAATAATATTATTATTAACATAATAGATATCACACGATACAGCACCACGCGATATTCTATTACATGACTGCGACCGCTTGCGACTAATCGTATTGTTATAATAATAATATCGGGTGTCCGGAAATTACGAGCACAAAGTTGACTTCCGCGAAAGGATGGGGCATGTGTTTAAATAATGCTTCTAATACTGTAGGGAGCGAAGGACCGGCCGATTCTCTGCGTGTTTTTTTTTTTAACGCATTTAGTACAAAATTACATAATCACTATAACAATAATTATTGTTATTTGCTAAAAGCAGTGGCGCACAGAAAAAGAGGAGGATTAGGTAATCAGAGACTCTCTCCTACGAAAAGTCTTCTTTACTAAATATGTTTTAATAAAGTTTTACAATTCAACAGCATAACATCGTTTACCACAGAATAAAACGATGAAATTCAATAGGCAATTTGCACCTTTGTTTTTCTCCATCGGCAAGATATGTAATTAAGTAAAATAAACAGATTTTACATGAACAATTTTCTGAAAAATTTGCCATTTTTTGAGTTATTTAACTTCAAAGTAACAAAATGGTTTCAAAAAAGGACATAAGAATGAAAAGTTGAAGAATTCCAGTTTTGACAGAGAATAAAGTGTTTATAGATCCTGTAAACGATCGGGCGCAATAATAATATCGTTATTTCACTCGATTCGCATTTTTGAAACTTTATAAATCATTCGACAGTCACTATTATATACACGTACATCTGCCATAAATTCTAATGTATAGCGATTATAGTAATGCGTACAAATTATATGCTGAACATACAAACACTTGTACATAAACTAATACACTAATATGTACTATTGTATACGCCAATTTTGAAAATACATACATTATATTAGGTTCTGCAATTTAGACCAAACAAATAACGTATTTATAAAAAAAAAGAAAAAACAAAAATGCCATCAACAATTATTTACTCCAAGCCCTTCGTCCCTGAGACCGAACGATTATTAGTATTTCGACGATTGCGTTTGCGCAAAATCAACTTTGCTGCAGGACCCCGGCGGCGGCCGAATCACACTCCAATTGTAACAATTGTTACACATAATATTTCGGGCGGGCGGGCGTTCCGCGGTAATTTGGATTCGGAATAGTCGGTTAGAGCGAGTTGCAAAACATTGTAAAGTTGCATTTCTTAGTTTTTAAAGGCGGTGAAATTTAGATACGAATATAGTCTGGGCGACGCCGCTGCGGGCGTATCTCCGATAGAGTGCCCGAGGAAATTATTTTACGCCGGTAATTTACTATCGTGCGTGCTTGTGCTGTTCCGATAGAACGACATTTGTACGTTTGTGCGCATTAAATCGTTATGCGGTCGTGCAGTAACAGCGCGCCCCCGACGAGGGATAAATGAATGGCGGGGTGGCGGCATGGGGTACGGCGAGTACGCCCGACGGGGGGGGGNGGGGGGGGGGGGAGCGGTTTACGCGGACAGAACGCGGAGCCGTAAACGCCGACACCGCCAATAAAGATTTAGCAGCTGACAATATTATTGTTATTATTATTATTATGTTGCGACAACAATGTCGAATATTATATCGGTTTTTTCCGCCTAACCTAACTTCGCGGGTAGCCATTATTATCATCATCGTCATCACGGGCGGGGAAGTCATATTATAATATCGCGTGATCGGCGTCCGTCCGCGTGGGATACCCGCGTAACATAAACGAGTACGTACGCTGCCCGTCAGCGCTTGTACAGGCACGCCATCGCTTTTGATGCGGACCGCGGAGATTTCCGAACGAGCCGCGGCGGCGGGCCGGATTACGACGGCGCGCCGCAGTGCGCGTTGTAGCGCGCGATCGCGAATTTCCGCGCGCGCATTTTTCGCCACGAATATATTTATTTGTGTACAAAAATATCGGATACAATGGGCGGCGGCGGCGGCGGCGGCGTGTATCGCCCGCTGCGCGCGGGGTTTTCTTATTCGCCGTTCCGAACGCACCCGCCGCCGCCGGCCGTATACACTCCCGAAACAATCGCATTACAGTATTATAATGACATATACGCGCGCCGCGGGTTGCGCGCGGGTACACGGGCCGCCGCGGGTATAGCGATGCGGGCAGCGGCTTTTGACCGGCTTACGGCGTTCGCGGACGTTTTTGTCGTCGGGCGCAGCATACTAACCAATACAACGTCACAACTACTGCGTCATAGGGGGGTGGGTACCACTGCGCGCGGCGGTACAACAATATTATATTCGCGCGCTCGAAAACGTAAACCGATTGCTTTTGTGAAAGCGCATTTCGATATTGTACAATAATGGCATTATCATATTATTATATATTTACGTCGCGATATTTCCATCGGGGTGTGTACGAGCGTGTGTACTGCCGTCCTGAGGAAAAGACCATCGCGAGTCGAAAAAAAAAAAAAATGTGATAGTACTAGAAAAACGTGTAAAACTATAATATTAAACGTAATTTCATTTTTTTTTTTTTTTTTTTTTATTCGATTTACGGAGTTCTCTCTCGTGACGGCAGTATAGGTGCGTTTTTTTCTTCTTTTTTTTTCGTTATAAAACCGTAGATTTGTTTGTTGCAGCTCTCCATGCTTCTCTATCGTAGCGCAGTTCTTTCGGGTCTTTGTAATTTCCCTTATTCGTATACTGCATTATCTGTGTCATGTATTCCGCTCTTGGTCTTCCTCTTGCAACGTGTCCTTTAACATCTCCTTCAAGTATTTTCTTTGATAAACTTTCATGCCTTAATATATGTCCTATCATTTTGTCTCTTCTTGATTGAATACTTTTCCATATTTGTCGTTGTCCCTTTATTTTATTTAATACTTCTTTATTCGTTACCCTCTCGGTCCAGGATATTTCGAGAATTTTTCTGAAACACCACACCTCAAAGGCTTCTAGCATATTTTTTTCCATTGAGTTTATTGTCCAGGTTTCGGATCCAAAGAGCGCTACACTTCATATATAACTTTTTAGGAATTTCTTCCTTATCTTCAGGCTGACACTATTAGTTGTTAAAATGTGGCTTTTGTCTTGAAAGGCTCTTTTCGTCTGTGCTATCCTGCAGATTATATTTGTTTTGCTGCGACCATCCTCTGTTATATTGATTCCCAGGTATGTAAATCACTGTACTTGCTTTATTTGTTCATTGTCGACATTTATGATGAGTCGAACCGGATTGACTTTACGGCATACCATAACTTTTGTTTTTTTTATAGGTGCGTTGTAATATTATAATCGGCCGACCGGTACTACCCGGATAGGTTCCGCCGGAACTTATTTCCGGCGGCGTTTGTGAGATATTACGCCGTCGTCGGACGCGTAGCCGGAAATTTTTCCGAATGTAAAGAATGGGGGGGGGGGGTGTTATGAAAAAAAAAATCGTTTTCACCGTCACTGTTTATTAATCAAACGCTAAGAGGACGGGCTCCGGCATAGAAAACTAGTGTTCTGCAAAGAAAACTTTGTGCTATTCGTTTTTATCATTACGGCGAATCGACCTATTTTCAAACTTAATAATAAGAACGTTAACACGGATTCTATTTTTTCGAAAGTTTAATTTTCAAGAGAACGCCATTTTCTAGTTTTCTATAAACGTTAATAAATTTCGATATTTCACATAAAAATATATCTACTAAATATCTCGTTTGAAAATTATAATATCGAACAAATAGCGTCAACGTTCCCGACATAATGATCCGATCATTGAGTTTTACAATAATAATAAATGTATAGCAATTCACTTTATCATCAAAACAACACAATTTATATTGGCCTTTCTCGAATTTGTTATGCCATACGCGTTTGTAAGACGAAGACAATATACATACGGATCATGCCCGAGGATCTTAAGGACATGCACCGAGATAAATTACAATATATTTGTTTTTTTTCTCGATATGGAGAGATGGAAATCGTTGTCGAGTATAGCTGCGATTAATAAATAATTATAAACCATAGTTCGTGGCATAAATAATCAATGGTCTTTTACGTCAAACATTTTTTTTTATACAAACATTGTACCATACGAAATTTACACATTAGTTATGTACGGCCACATTGTAAAATAATTTATCTTTTATTATTTCATTATATACACAAAAGAATCGAGGAGCATCGAGAAGGCCTTCCTAAGGAGATCTTTGGTTTCGGCATCGATTTCACGAATAGATAAAAAAAAATACGTAACAATTTGTGTAAAATCTGTGTACAATTAGTGTATCACCGTTTTGTGTATTAATATTGTTCAAGTGAAGACAATAATTATAATTTGTATAATCATTATGAAAATATTTACCACAGGTTAGGTATAACGGATGTCAAAATAATATTCACCTTGTCTCACTACGGTCAGGGCATTACGCGATGGGCAGGTATTACTATGTTTACAGCACTTAACAGAAAGTGTTTTACACAAATACGATAACATAGCTAACATAAAAAAACAATTATCGACATTTATACCTATACGTCACTCGTGGGTATTATACCCTGGCATGTCAACGTGAATTAAATTTTTATAAAAATTCGATGACATCAACTTCATATTCAAACCAGTGGCGGATAGGCATATATTTTATTTACTGAGAAGTAATTTGAAGAACCCACATACCAAACGCTCTCCAAAAATTAGATGCTCGCCAGCAACATTATTTTATTTCAAATTGATTATTCTTTAATATTTTTTTCTTTTCTACATTATAGTAATACCTCTCTATTTTTTTCCTCCGTTTTAATGCATTCGTCTCATATTTTCGTTAATTTTGTTTTTTTTTTTTTTGTTATTGATATTCATAATTTATTTATTATTAAATTACTGCATAATGAAATACAAATAATAATTTACACTACTATTATGGTACTATTACAGTACATATTTATAATAGATAATTGAATGACGAAATAAAATAATAATTTATAAGTTATTATAACGCAGCTAAATTTGTATGCGTATACAATATGCATTCAATACTTCAATGAAAAATTGAGAGATATGAATCAAACAATCAACGAATTCAATGACACGTAGCAACTGACAACAGGATGCAAAAGCTTATAAACACCATATTAAGTGTGTTTTGGCGTTGTAACAGACTAACAGCGAGTAAACTGTTTACTGATAACGTTTTTTCGTGTTGGTTACTGTAACTTCGTCAGTGGTTACTCTTACAAGTAAACATGAAGTATAATATTATTGTTTTGGCGCCTGCTAACCGGAATATATAATCGTAAATTTAATCACTAAACTGTATACATCGTTAAAATACGCCTATTGGTACAACACAGTATAGCACGTTTCTATAATCTAAAAATAAATCTCAATATACCCAAATCCCAATGATACGGTGAACAAAACCAAATTGGTCGATTTGATTTTTATTTGTAACTTCAATCTTTATCACACATATTGTGTATCTTTAAATTAAAGATACACAATATCCCGATCAAAGACTTTAATTAAGTTCATTGGATACTTGACCTGGGGCCCCCCCATACATCAATACAGGACAGGTCCTACTGGGAAAATCCCGAAATCCCTACGGGCTTACTCGCCACCGGTTCAAAGTCAAATAGTTTACGAGACAACGTTTTTATGATAAACAATTTTTGTTCTCTTTCAAATCTCAGAGTGGGTCGACGACTTTTGGCAATCGATGAACTTTACCCTCTATAACCACACGAACACAATGTATGTAATTGTTCCCCGAATCATCACGAGACCGCCGCTATGCATTTTCGTGGTAAAGTAACGTACCCATTTGTTTGTATGGAAAAATAAACGGAAGTGTACAAAACGCGGATAGCTCGGTATATTACATTTAAGTGAAAACGTTCATCGAACAAAGTAACTGCGTGCGCTGCTTGCATATTTATTTCCAAAGTTATTTTCGATACAGGTCGTCTATGTATTCAAACGCATAGAATTCAAATATTATTTGCATACGACAGACACGGCGACGTTGTCTTTGAAACACGGTCCTATACATCGAATAATGTTTTATTTTACTTAATTTTACTTGATTATACTTGATACGAGTGTAGATCAATATGCTGCACAAAACCGTACAACTGACGTTTTAAAAGTCCGGTAACGATAAACATCGAGTTGATTATTACGCACAGCGACGCCGCAGTGCACGCTGTATTATATTATAATATATCACGGTGATTTCGAGTTCGACGTAAAAGGTTTCGGGCTTTTCTCGGCGAGATAAACACGTCTCCGTTTGCCGCGAATGAACTGAACTATACTATGCGTATTATCGCATAATAATATACGGCCGGTCGGTGCGCGTGAGTGTGTGTGTTTGTGCGCGTATACACGCGACGCCGGGACGCCGGGACGCCGGGGGTACGGGACCGTTTTCATTCATTGAGCCGAGTCGAAAAGAATGTCCAAAGTGGATAAAGACGACGAGATGATGAAAAGCCGTGTTTAAAGATGTCCCTATCGTCCGCAATAAGCAACCCTTTCCGAGCGCTCTCCCGTAAAAGGTTCCGAAAACTCGCGGAGCCGTATAATAGCTTTTCTTAAACACACGCACACGTATAGGACGCTGCAGTAGCAACAGCAGTCGTCCGCCGCGGATTGTCCGGGACGATACGACCGCCGCCGGCCCGTTCCTCTCTCTCCCCGTCGCTCGCCGCCGCCTTGTTGCGTCCGCCGCCGCCGTCTTCTTCTGTACGCGCTGTATATTATTTACATCGCCGCCGCGCACACCGACGCAGTTCAATTTATTTTAATTAGCCCGTTCAAAATAAAGAGAACGCCGGGAAACTGGTGCGCGCGAGAACGGCGACGGCGACGGCGACGGCGACGACGACGACGACGACGGCGGCGGAGCTTTTTACTTTTACGTTAATTAATCCGCGCGGCCAACAGCTCTCTCGCCGCTATGTACTCGCCGCCGCCGCCGTCGCTGTGTGCGCGCGCTATACGCGTACTTTGTCCGCCGCCCGCCTACACGACCGACTTTTAGCTCGACGAACTTTATCTCAAACGCGAACGAGCTGCTGCCATTCGGCCTCCTCCTCCTCCTCCTCCTCCTCCTCCTCCTTCTCCTCCTGCTCCCCCATCGACCCGTACCGTACCCTTTTTATCCCCGGTCGCCCGTAGCGGCCACCGCGGAAAAGAGAAGTAATTTGTTTTCGTAACAAATTACATTATGAATAACTGCCGTCGTTATGCCGCCGCCGCGGTCGACGACAGATAATTTATAATACGACGATAACGCTAAACGACGACGACGACGACGACGTTATATTCCGCACCGCGGACGGGCCCAGTGGCGTGTCAGGAGCTCACTCGAGGGGGGGGGGAGGGAAAGAGTGGTTTAAAAATTTGAATGCGAAACATCGAGAGCGGTTTTCTCGTCCCGAAAACTGAAACAGTTTTAATTGTTTTTTTTTTTTTTTAATTCTTCCATATTAACTATAACTATACAAAAAAACAAAAAAAAAAAAACTATTAATAATAATAAAAAAGACAGACATACTTCGCACATGAGCGCAGCCACTGTTGTAGATGTAAAGTTGTTTAGAAGGATAAAGAAGGGCATTTTATGTATAACTGTAGGCAACGGTAAACCATTTTTAACGAAAAACACCACTCTGAGCGGAGTTCAGTTGATAATGGTGATTCGTCAACAATATATATATATATATGTGTGTGTCCCAATACTATGGTAAAATAATTAAATAGACATTGTATACTTTCTTTAATAATATTTGTTTAATATTGTACCGGTTTTCCCGTTTTTCCTACGTTTTTCACACGTGCTTCGCATATTTGCATTACATCAATTTGATATAATGGTCGAACGACGTTATTAGTAGAAAACGCGTGCCGTATAACCAGCTACAAATAATGGTCTACACACAGTGATTTTTTCTCGTGGTGATCGGGCTAGACCGGA